GACAGCCATTGAGAAAGTCTAGTGCTCCTCTGATCCAGAGATCTGGTCTTTGTCCCGCCCCCACAGCCAATGAACCAATCAACAGCTAACTCCAAACATGACCCAGGTTAGTTTAGTCAGATATTTGAAAAAAATATATTTGGTGTATATTTTATTCAAATTTTGTGCTTTATCTATAGGACTTGTTTTGTCCCTATTCTCAAGAATCAGTGAATTACAAAACTAATCATACTGTATTTTCGAAGATTGTTTTTAGCAATAAAAAAATTATGTTCCCTCTCCCAGACCAAAAAACACACATCCATATTTGCCCTGAACACCTCCTGGATCTGCATGAAATGGTGAAATGGTCCGTTCCTGCTTGGAGCGCTTGAGATGACGAGTTCTGCAGCAGTCAGTGGAAGACAAGAATGACTGTGGTGCTTATTTATGGTTGTCAAAAAAATAGAGAGAGGGAGAGAGAGAAAAAGGCAAGAGTGTCAATTTATAACTGAGCTGCAGGTTTGTATGAAACACCAGAACTACACAATATTAGCTTGGTGTGATGTGAATTTTATTTTTCGTTCAAAAAAAAATAAAATAAAATAAGTTCATGATCTGAGTATTATGATTGGGCCTGGAAATTTCATTCATAAGACAAAATAAAATATCTTGAATTATTTAACCCACCAGAACTAGAACCTTGAGGTTCGCCGTTGCTGAATGTCACTGCAAATCAGGGGAAAAATAACTGCAGCTGCTGCGCTCCAGACTGTCATACGGAGAATCTCCCCACTGGACTAGAACCGAACAGAATCACACATTAACCTATTATAGAGAGCAACTTGCCACTGGAAAGAGTCGTAAGATCCCCTTGTGGAGCTCGGGTAACTGTTGTGCTGTTCGTGGCTGTTCTCTAATAATCAGACCAAGTTTAATTTGTGGCTGCAGCAAGTGTGCTTTGAACGTGCTCCCAAAACAAAAGCGGTAGTTTTCATCGCCTACCGACAGATAAGCAAGCAAAAAGAATTTGGCTAACAATTCTAAACTTGAAGAGAGAACCCAAAATTATTTATATGTGCTCATTTCATTGTGTGGACAAAAAGTCAGTGGAAGAAAACCTGCATTTGCCTCCGAAGCAACTGAGTCAGGGAAGTAGCTAGAAATGCTAGTGCGGGTAGCTACATATGCTAGTTCGACTTGATTTCTTCAAGTTGACATCCCTCCTCGCAATAGCTGTAGTTGCGGTAAAATAATATTGTCACATTTAAGCTTTGATAGCTGGTGTTTCCACATATTTTATAGCTTAAAAACGCTGACAAAAGCCGGTTAGTGAGTTGCTAAAGTAAACAAATGGCTTACGACGGAAGTCGCGCCCATAAATCATGCAAAGCCTCATGGGGCATAAGAATAAGGTGGATACAATGGAGAAGCTAGGACAATGGGCTCTTTGCACGTACGGCGTTTACGTCACATATGCGTGAGCCAATGCGGCTCACTTGTTTCCGCTTTGAGTTACCATGGCGACTAGAAAAGACTAAGTCAAATTTCAGAGCAAAAAAAGCAATACTATGAACATTGTTGTCTTCCTAATATAATGGTGGCTTGTAAATATTTGTCGCTACCAGTTAAAGCTAACGCCGCACAGCAAAGTTTGCAGCCTTCATTTCACTTCGGATCAGCTTCTTCAGCCTAAAACTACGGGCGGAGGGAGGAGACGGGTGATTAAAAAAAAGGAGCCGTCCCTGAGTTTTTTCCATGGAATCACTTCTGTATTCAGCCTGAATGTTTACTGATGATTCTGGGATAATCAAGGTATTGTTGCCAAGACTGAACAGGTGGTCAGGAGTTGGATGCAAAGACAACATAGACAGACTGCAGATAACCAGATGGGAAATGCTGTGTTAATTTTAAACAGCTTTGTAGTGAAAGGATTCATATTTTACAGTTGTGTGCTCGGCTAGACAAACCAGAACAGAATATATGGGGTGTATTAATTCGTTGATGTAACACACATCTTCATTCCATTATCTGCCTTTCTGTCTTTCTTTTTTTTAGTGTTGCTTGCATTAGATCTTTTGACACAGATTTACCGGTAGTGAATTTACCGGTAGATTCAGATAATCTGCAGAGCAAAGGCACATGCAGCGCTGCCTTTGCTGGTGGCAATAAACTGTGCTTGTTGGCAAAGATTAACAATGACGTTTTGCACTTCAAAGTCTCAATCCCTCCATGCAGAGAACTCGCCCGGGCATTTTTCTATCCCACCGTTCTTTCATTCTGAATCTTTGCCTCCTCGGTGTTTTGTAGTGCCCCATACGCAGCACAATATTCACTGATACCTCATAATAGAAATGAAATCTTATTATAGATGAGAGAAAAAAAAAAGCAGTTTTTGAAACAACAGCAGTGGTCAACAAAGAGGGCATGAGGTGTGAAGCAAAAAAAAATGCGGAGCATGAAGTGCTGAGACTGACAGTGCTGTGTGCTTAGGTCTGTTTCTGTGAGAGAGGGAGGAGATGCAGTGTGGAGAATTCATGTGCTGGAAGGAGATTTAAAGTGGAGAGCGAGAGCAGAGAGACAGAGAAGGGACTGGGGCGAGAGTGAGAGCTGAAGACTGAGAGAGAAACAGGCAAGGGGGAAAGAGGAGTAAGGGAGCATCGGAGTCGAGTCTGCTTCCAACCACCGCCTGTCGGATCTCCCTGAGTTGACGGGCTGCTGCTGCTGACTGGAGACTGGATCCTTTTGCAGCACACACACCAGAGTTTCCCCGTGGCTATGCGTTCAGCTGGCGTTAACCTCTGCTGGCTCCGGCGCTGGCACATGAGTGAAGGTTTGACCAGCTTCGCTCTGGACCTGACTCAATACCCATGAACCCCTGCCAACTCTGGCGTACCCTCTCCTGTCATTAAGGTAAGGGAATAAAGACTTTTTCTGACTCTAACTGATGTTCAAGCAGCATTTAACCTATTCAGTCATTCATTTACATATTAATTGAGGAAACTGCTCTAAAACTAGTGAGAAGTTTTCTATGTATGCATTATTTGTCAACAAGAAACAAGGCAGTAGTTAGGTCAAGCTGTCACTGTTTTCAATCTTTTCTAATGAATATTAATCACTGACCTCAGAGTTACTCTACATATCGCTGGTTCTTGTGCTTTCACATTTAATGCAAATGATATTATTAGCTCCACACCATGTCTGTCTCCTGCAGGACTTCAATAAATTGTGATGTTTAGATGAGATGTAATGAATGTGTTGGCCCTAGTATCTATTGCACACGCACTCAATATAGGTCAACTGAGCCAGATCTCAATTCTGTTTGTTGTGCAGGAGAAACTGATTGAGTTAAAGCCTTGTCCTTTGGAGTCTTATAGCTCTGAGAGACATGCTTTAAAAATGTATGGATAAACAAGTTAATGCGCATGCTGAGTCCCTTTTTGTCACTCTAGTTTGTTAGATTTTGCAGTGAGCATGTTCACAACTGGAATCTCTACAGCACAAACAGACGCCCCACAACCTCCTACAGCAGCTGCCTAAATATACATGTCTCTGTAACGTGAGCTTTAACTACCAGAAACTAACTCTGTTGGTGCTTCTTTGTTTTATGTTTATGCTCAGTTTGTATCTTTTTAAATGGATCTCTTTCTACGTCAGCCTTAACAAGTTAAAGACTTTGAAAAAAGAACACACTCGGTCTAAATTCTAGGATTTTAGTTCTTTTTTTTTCTTTTTTTTATTCAAACACATAAAGTCATGGTGTAATAATCTAGTTTTGAATGACCGATGTTTGATCTACAGAGCCTGATGATGATTTTTACATGAAGTCTAGAATTGATGGAGTACATCGAGTACTTTTGTAAGCATTCTTGTTCAGAATGACATGGTCACATTTTATAAATGCAACATTAAAGACTTGCTGTATAAAAAGACTGCCTGCGCTCAAAATATTCTACAGTTTTGAGGCAACTTTCTCAAAGCACTGCGCAACACAACTGCAAAGACGTCAGTGAATCAAAAGTAATAACCTTCAAGCTTTTTTGCACTCATATTTAATAAGAGTTAGATGAAATCTGTATTACACGGAGTGCTGTTGTGCTTTAAACTCTTTAACTTTAAGGATGAGCAATTCAACTACTTGTGTTGGGGGTATCAAAGAAACGGCATGTATGGTTGCAGCAGATGCACTTTGTATTTTGACTGAGATGTGATCATTTTAAGAGGATGAGCAGCACACGTCAAGTGAAGTTTGGCAGAGCAGACGTCCAAAATATTCTGCATTACGTTGCCAGCTTTAATAATAATTAGACAGGCCGTGTCTAAAATCCAACATTAGGACACCAAGCCTGGCTGTTGCCTGCTGTCATTATTGCTGCGGGGAAATCTGTAATACCCATCGCTCCACGGCAAATTTATTTTAGAGTCACGTGATGGTCAGGACCAGAGTGGGAGCACAGCTGAGAAACTGCATGTCAAAGCAAGAGACAAAGATGCCTTTGTAACATCCAGATTTTTTTTTTTAAATTATTATTTTAACAAAAAATTGAGAGAAAGCAGGAAGATGTCACAATACCAAAAGTTAATGTTCCTGCAGTGGTTTTGAATTTGCTATATTTTTACCCAATGGTCCTCTGGACATGTATGGAGGAAAATGTTCATTAGGAGTTAAAATAACTGGACAGAAAAATAGCTTTGCACAAGAAGATTCCTCCCTCGGTGAAAAGAAAAAGAATTTGATTAATTGGAAGCATTTCTGTTCAAGTGAACTCCCACAGTCACTCTGTAGAAACTAAGGAAGCCCTGCATCTGTCTTATTATGGTAAGGCAGGACACTGAATTATGAAAAAAGGATAGTATTCTGCATAAAATGTACATTTAGTTTTAAAAAAGAATAAACTTAGCTGGTGTTTGTTCAGTTTTTTTCACCCTACTGTCTTAAAAGAAAAAAGCAGTGTATTAGTGAAGCAGATAACATGATTATAACCAATTAAGGAGTTAGACTTATTTTGCAGCAGTATATTTGTTTTATTTATCAAAGCAGTTACAGAAGATAGCATTATACAATGCCTGTTATTGTGAAATATTACATTGTACACCGGGAACTATTCACAGATTTTCACCTGAAAAACAGAGATGTATAATTTCTTAAATAAATAATTTCTTACAAAAAAAAAAAAAAACATCTACCAAAAAAAAGGAAGAAGAAATGCAGCAATGGACAACTGGAAGCATCCTTTTCATCTGGCGAATTGTGATTTTGCTTTTCTAACTTTTTTTTTTTTTGGGCAGCCGGCTGCATGGCAGGGCTCGCTGAAAGTGTCCCAGTGCATGCCTCTGTCTCTTTTATAAAGTAGGCACAGGCATTTTACTTTATATAAATAACCCATGACATAACCCATAAAGACCCCCTCTAACGCCACAGAGCCAGTGCCTTGCCCAGCATGTTGAAAGGTCTGAACCCACAATTAATCAGGTTTATGGAGCAGCTGAAGGAGAAGTCCCTTTTGAATTGGAAAGGTGATGTTTTATTGGACACAGTCCACTGGCTGAGCCTGTTTTTGCTGCCTGGTAGGTGCATCACATCTGTGCTGTTATCTCTTCAGATAATGCTCCTTTATTTTTATTTTTATTTTAATCCTTTTTACTTTCATTCTGGAAAAGGCTTGTAGTCTTATTTTCGTTGAAAAAAATTAAAGCGTTGTAGGAACGAATAAAGCTCTGATTTATTTAGTAGTAGACTATGGAGAAACATGATTGTACGCAGATTTCAGTGGAAGAGGTCACTGACTTAGCGTGGGAGTGTATAATGAATGTAGGTTTATCATTGTTCCCTTCTGGGCACTTACTCATGCATCTACCTGTTAAATACATACTCAACTTTACACAGAGCAGCAGCAGTCAGCCTACATTTAAACCAGCTGTACCTCGCACTTTCACTGATTCATTCATATTAACTGGCACAATACGTACCATCCAAGCGTCACCTTTTATTGAGGAAAATAACAGAATGGTTTTAAGGTTGAGAGGAGAGGTCTAAAATTAGAATCAACACCACAGTTACATAGTAAAACCCTCCAAACCCGTGGTCATCTTTTTTATCCCAGTAGCTGCATTGCATGTATTGTTTTCTATTCCCAATAGTCAAAGATTTGCTTTGCACTACTTCACAAAAAATAGCAACAAGGGCTATAAAGTAATCCTAAACAAAGACATTTTAATAATCTCAGAAACATTGTTAGGAATGAAGTATTCAAGGTGACATGTTACCAGAGTAAATACCAGACAGGTGTGATTAAAGGTTTTGTATTTGGATATTTGATCCCTTTATTTACTAAGTTTCTCTTACAGCAGCCATTGGGTGTTTAAATTATCTTTTTACACAAAGCATGTAGAGGAGATCATCAGAAGACTCACATCGTTTGTGAAAATAATAGCGATCCCTCTCAAAATAGGTTAATTAAACTATGAAGGCGCATAGAGTTAAAGCTGTATAGATTTTCAATAAAGTAGAATTTTATTGAAAAATTAGTTTATTTCAGTTACTAAGCGAAGCACATTATTTAGTTTAATTACAGACTGGTGTTTTCAAGTCGTAATTATGATAATTTTTCCACTTACAGCTGATGAAAATACAACATTTAAGATTAGAACATTACATCAGACCAATGAAAGCATTTTATTGCAGAAATATAAGACTAACGGAAATGCAGTTCAATACCTGCTTTATGCTTGTTATTTTCAAAAAGTACTTTCAGCTTGACAAATTAACCTCACAAGAACATACATTATAATGACACTATACAATGAGCTATTGCAACTATTATAGACAAGATGGTAACAGAAGGGCACCGCCATCTAAGAGGCTTTATGAAACTTGTTTGAGATAATTTGAACTTTGTGACTTGGTGTTCCATCCTTCTGGAAGGAGATATCAGAAAATGGGAACATGGTGGTCAATTAACTAATGGACACGGTCTGCAATGATTCTGTTTTTAGGCTGTGGCATTTAAACAACACTTGGTGGGGCCAAAAGGGTTCCAAAAAAATATTCTTCAAACTATTTTACCTTCACCTGCAGCCTGAACTGTCGACGAAAGACAGACTGACTGTGCTTCTTTAGGCCAAACTCTGACCCTATCATCTCGCTGCTGCGTGATTCAATCTATTACACGGTGAACTTTTGGTTAGTTTCCCGTTCTTACTGAGAGAAAATGCAGGTGGAGTTAAACAGTTTTTCTCTGTAATTGTACTGAAAACAGAGTTTGATTGTGGGATACCAGGTATCTCAGTGTCATAGAAAGGGCATCTTGTACAGAGGCTACAGATCTCGGTGCAGAGGTCCCTGCTTCCTGTTGAGCTACCAATGAACACAGGTGACAAGTGCCCAAAAATATTTGAAAATACAGTTTGGTTCACCATATGTATTACATGTCGAGCATAAAACTAAATGTAACAACTTTTTGTAATTCTTAAAACACACATCAAATGCAGATAGCTTTTTGTTTGCTCATCTTGCTCCAGTCTGCCCAGTTTGCAAAACGGTCAAATTTGCAAACCATATAAATAATATTTGTAATGAAACTCGCTCAATTTAAGATAATCTACTGAAAAAAAAAATAAAATAGTGAAAAAGTTCTTTTAAAATCAAACACTGGAAAACATAATGATTGATGAATCATTTTTCACCTCTTCCTATGAAGGTTTGTGTTGAAAAGCCTTCCCACTTGGATGCCATCTTGCAGTCTTTGGTTGTGGCTCTATAATAGGGAACAGTACTTCTGCTCTGAGGACCCTCAGAAAGCAAAACTGCTGTTTAACAAAGGAGCCTTGCATTTTAAAACCACTCATCCTCCACGGGGAGAAGAAATTGTACAGTCCATTCACAAACCTGATTGTACCAAATCATTATGATT